CCTGTGTTTCCCCAATTATTCTCGTTGAGTTGTGTATTTATGGTGTGGTCTGCCCCTTGATTTGTGTTCGGTGTCTTACGTCATGTTGTGCTACTCCGTTGTTCCTGTTAGCCCTGTGTTTCCCTCCTGGATGATTAAAGACTCTCGTTTTGTGTTAACTCCTCGTCTCCTCGCTCCTCCAACAGGCAAATTGTGACAACACCCTTGCCAAAGTTATTTTGAAGTATTTACTTTAATGTTACACAAAATATTTTTCTATACTAAAAGTATTTTCATGTAATTTTGTCTACTGAAATGTAGTCATTGTATTATTTCATGCTAAACCACAAACTAATATTGTGCAAGAAAGTTAGCACAAGCACTTTTTTTTCAAATGAAATTTCTTTGTTTTGAGAGCATGTCACAAAGTACATTTTGTGAACTAAATATCATAAAGTAAAAAAGCATAAAAAATGGGGACAGTACCAACTATGACTGTATTCTGTATATACTATATTCTATTCTATTCTATTCTATTCTATTCTACTATGACACTGATGACACTGATGATGGTGTGATATCGCAAACATTTTGTCTGTGTACTGAGCACTTTTGCGCAATTTGTATGGTCCCTGAAAGATTTTTTTTTCTTTTCTCAAAGGATATTGTGTGCAGGATTTTATTTTTATTTTCTATAATCTATAGATCTTTTTTAACCAGAATAATGAAATATAGTGCATATAAGTGCACTAGTCAGTGTTTGGCATGACCGTTGACACTATTGTCATTCAGGCATATTACATTTATGAAAATGAATAATTTGTAGAAAAAAATGCAAAACCCATTTTGTGGGTCAAATGAAATTTCTTTGTTTTGACAGCATGTCACAAAGTACATTTTGTGAACTAAATATCATAAAGTAAAAAAGCATCAAAAATGGGGACAGTACCAACTATGACTGTATTCTGTATATACTATATTCTATTCTATTCTATTCTACTATGACACTGATGACACTGATGATGGTGTGATATCGCAAACATTTTGTCTGTGTACTGAGCACTTTTGCGCAATTTGTATGGTCCCTGAAAGATTTTTTTTCTTTTCTCAAAGGATATTGTGTGCAGGATTTTATTTTTATTTTCTATAATCTATAGATCTTTTTTAACCAGAATAATGTAATATAGTGCATATAAGTGCACTAGTCAGTGTTTGGCATGACCGTTGACACTGTTGTCATTCAGGCATATTACATTTATGAAAATGAATAATTTGTAGAAAAAAATGCAAAACCCATTTTGTGGGTTAATATTCACAAAATGAATACAAAATGCATTTTGTGGTTTAGATTTTTGTACACTAACTGTGATGCCGTTACTGCATGGTAGAAACATGCAATTGGCTTTTGTCTTTCTGATTACAAAATGCATCAGTGTACATTTTGTAATGAAATACAGCATTTCATGTCACAAACTGAGTGCTGTCATACTTGATGCTCCATGCTAGCGACACATTTAATGTCCTGTTGACTGCAGTAGCAGCTCTCTTAAGTGTGGTCTCATTACTCTTTACTGTAGGCCCAGCTAGTGAAGGACAGACACTCGCTGATAAGAATGGGCAGTCTATACTCAGATGAAGAAGAGGAAACCATTGAAGTATTACCAGAGAAAAACCAGATGACCTGGACTAGTGAAAAAATAGAAGCAGAAAGACGAAACCGAAGCAACGCACCAGAAAACTTCAGAGAACTAATTAGCATTAAACCGTGAGTAGGCAAGCAGGAACAAGAACTGGAATGCCATGAGTGCTGTCATACTTGATGCTCCATGCTAGCGACACATTTAATGTCCTGTTGACTGCAGTAGCAGCTCTCTTAAGTGTGGTCTCATTACTCTTTACTGTAGGCTCAGCTAGTGAAGGACAGACACTCGCTGATAAGAATGGGCAGTCTATACTCAGATGAAGAAGAGGAAACCATTGAAGTATTACCAGAGAAAAACCAGATGACCTGGACTAGTGAAAAAATAGAAGCAGAAAGACGAAACCGAAGCAACGCACCAGAAAACTTCAGAGAACTAATTAGCATTAAACCGTGAGTAGGCAAGCAGGAACAAGAACTGGAATGCCACCACTGTACACTATCAACACTGTATTTGGCACAAAGTAGTAGGTTTTACTTTTTATGTTTCTATAATAGACCTATTTGATTTTTATGGTTAGCATAAAGAGGATGTTTGTTCCTTGTTGTATTTACATAAGTAAACTATGTGGGTGTGCATGCTTGTGTACTTTCAGTGTGGTATTACACTCTTAAAAATAAAGGTGCTTCACGATGCCATAGAAGAACCTTTTTGTCTAAATGGTTTCATAAAGAACCTTTAACATCTGAAGAACCTTTCTGTTTCACAAAAGGTTCTTTGTGGCGAAAAAAGGTTCTTGAGATTATAAAAAGGTAATAAAGAGATGGTTCTTTAAAGAACCTATGACTGAATGGCTCTTTGTGGAACCAAAAATGGTTCTTCTATGGCATCGCTTGATGAACCTTTTGAAGCACCTTTATTTTTAAGAGTGTACCTATAATCCTGAAAGGTCCTAGTTTGTTTTATTTATTTATTTTTAAATTCCACACGTTTGCCAAACATATTGATCCACCTTAGTTTAAATCAAAAGTCTGTGTGTTTGTTACAGTGACCAATCTAATGTTCGGCGGATGCACACAGCAGTGAAGCTGAATGAGGTTATTGTTAATAGATCCCATGATGCCAGACTTGTGCTGCTGAACATGCCAGGACCTCCACGCAACCCAGAGGGAGATGAAAACTGTATCCTTCCCAAAGAATTATATACTTTAAGTACTGTATTAAAGCTTTCTTTTGCTGTTTGCTTCATTTTTGGTAAGATATAGATAAATCCAACATGCCTTGTTTGTGCAAAAATCCCTATTATTTATGATATAAATGTATTGCTACTTCTCCTGCTGTTTCTTTAACTCCGATTTCAGATATGGAATTTCTTGAGGTGTTAACTGAGGGTCTAGAGAGAGTGCTGCTTGTAAGAGGTGGAGGTCGTGAGGTCATCACTATCTATTCCTGAATGGCCAAAGATCAATACATAGACCACTGTTACTGTTTGTTACTCTATCTAAAAAAGTGGCATATAAAGAATATGCATACTGAACATCTTATGCCAGCCTAAACATATCATAGTTCATGAAAAGGGGTTTTACACTAAAGTGCACTATTTGATCAATTAATTTCACTTGAAATACTTCAATGGCACATTTGGCCTGTTTCAGTTGTGTCCCTTTTCAACTGAACCCCTTCCACATTCACACTATAACATTCAGAATCACTTTGGAATTTATGCCATGTGTGCTACACACAAAAAAAACAAAACAGATGATTCTAGCAACAATATTGCTTACGTATGACATTAAGTAGACAATCCCAATTTTAAAATATTTGAGGTTTTGCCACCAGTGATAAATACGAATCGCTGATGTAGCAACATACAATATCAAGCATGCTAACAGTGCAGAAAATATTGTGGCTTGGGTCAGAACCAAGAAAAATATTTCACAACGGTTAACAGTAGCTCATTTAGAAGAGAATTATTCTGTATCCTTTTAATATAACAAATTACATGCATAACATTATTTTGTACAGGGCGACTAAATGAAAAACGAGCACATGTGATTATCTTGACTTTCACTGCCCAAGTAACAGATCTAGTGCTTCCTGGTATAAGACTGCCATTCAGAACGCAAGTGCTAAACTTAAATTTCTATTTGACTGCTTGTATTTTTTATTTATTCTGTCTTTATTTATTTGTAGAAACTCCCCATTGTATTGAAAGTATTAGCTTTAGAAAATAACCAAAGGAGCTGAAATGGGATGGCTAGATTTTGTATAACGTTTTTTAAGAGAAAAAAGATTCTTTATAAATGAACAATTCGTTTTCAAAATCTGCATTTTAGTACACAACTCGCATTGAGAATGAGACATTTTGGATACCGATACAAAGTCTTTATTATTTTTTAAGGCATGATTACTGTACAGACAATATACATTTGTTATACAAATAGAAGAATATATGGAAGACTGTATTGATTAACAACATTTATGGAATGTGTTACATCTCTACAGTGTTTTATGTTAAAGATAAAGATTAAACACTTAATGAAACATGCTTTTATGTATAGTATTAAGAAAAATGTATTTTAAAAACTAAAAATATGAAAAAGTTGCAATAAAGTGCACTATGAATTGCAGAACATGTTACATGTATTATATGATCTTATTTTTGCCTCAGAGAAGACAACCTCTAACTGCATACCTTGTGGATTAACAAAAAGAAGCTAGAAAAAAAACAGGCATTATTGCATTGTAAAGTTGATGACAATTTTATTTCCTCCTATAATAAACGAATACAGTATTATCGAAAGACTGTGTCATCTGCATAGAAAAACAAGTATACGCTATGGCTCTCCAGTGCTTCCAAAAGATTGATCTTTAAGTTTGAGCAGTTCATCAGAGTTTAAGGTAGAACTAATTATTAGTCTAAACAGCGAGTCAGTGTTTGACAAATGTGTTTGGAAAGTAATAATTTAATAATAATAATACTACAATATTTTTGTATTCAATAAAAATATAACTAATTTTTTTAAATATTTCGTATATTTTTTATATCTACTTCTGCAAAAGGGAAATACCAGACAGATCGAAAGAAACAGATGCTTCTTACTGATATGCTAAAGAAGTACAAGATAATGCAACAATGCGGTTTGTTACGTCATTTTGTTATCTCATGTGATCTGTACACTAGCTATGCATATTAAGAAACCGTTATAAAGTATGGTCTTCATAAACTGTTACCAAACATAACCGTTTCCAAAATAGTCAAAGCACCTAAATGTGTCAGTTTCAGTCAGCAAATTTACTTCAAATGTACTCCTGGTCTTGTTGAGATTTTTGTTGGCCAAGCAGTCTGTGGTAAACATTTATATTGTATACTGTCTCTAGTTGATTAATTGTTTGTTAGATTACTGTGACTGGATCCAAAGTAAGATGAAGTAGATTAAAGCTTTCACAGGCATCAATGGAGCGTTTCCATTTCGATGGCTACTTTTGGGCAAGACTGGATGGATCAGCATCACACGACAGCTGTTGTTTACTTCCGAAAGGGAGATTTCAACTTCACTGGGTGAAATGTGCAGAAAATCATCACGTACCTTAACATATGGAGAGAGAGAAGTATTTAACATATATCCAAATGTGCTTTGATCACACTGAGGGAAATACTTTTAATATACAAACTATAAGAATGTGTAACACTTACAGTATTTCAGTACACAGGTCCTTAAAGTGAATTAAATGAATGTTGATTTAAAAAAATTGTGTTTTGAAATTACATGTATAAATATATAAACTAATCTATGAAATTATTAATAATTTCATAAATAATTATTTATTAATTATTTAATAAATAATTATTATTTCTTGCATTGGTTGGGGTCCAAACTGGGTGCAGATACAGTTTGATAAAATCTCATCAGACTGAATGTGCTGAACCAGTGCAGTGACATTTGGATAAGGAGGAATCTTATCATAACTTATCAAGAACAGGATGGTAACATGTCATATGTATTTATACTACATGTATAGCAGGGCTGCCAACTCATTTCAGCTTGGAGTAAGAATTCGTGTGGGGGGTGCGGTGGGCTGTATGGGGTTGTTTTGTTAAAAAAAGAAATCAAAACCTGTCAACAGAATTTTGTCTGACAGTGGTTGTATAAAATAACTGCTGCAATAGTGCAAAAAAAAAACTTTATTACGACTAGCTTATTTTTATGTAGTCTACAGAGCATATTAGTTACTAACCTAAACTCAAATCACTGACCTGCCTGTTTACACAGTGCAAGATGAGAGGGAGGCTGACTACTCAGCATGCATGGAAATAAACTACAATTAAGTTACGCATTTCCCCCTATTTCTCAGAATTACTCACTGCTGCACAGTGCTGCCTACTCTGTCTCGCTAGTCAGCACACTACAATGTCCTCTTTGCTCTCTATGTTTTTGGGTGTGTGGCGTGAGAACAGTGCCAAACACATGGGAGTAGGCAGCCCTGATGTAATAGATACACTTTCTCTGTCTGTTTGGCTTAATAAGGTGAGAGAGATTTGAGTGGATGTTTCAATAACAACTGTAATTTAAAAGAAGAGGGTTAGATGAGGGTGGAAGATAGTGGCCGTAATATTATGAGATAAATTAATGGGGATCACTGAGAGCAGGACAAAAGGCAGTAGGAGTTTTTAAAGAAAATAAAAGGAACTGGAAGGAATTTCCATTTGGCTGTAAAGATCACTATTGTAGTGCAAGAAAGGAAGAAGCTGAGGAATAAAATGTAAGTATGTGTGTGAGAAAGTTTAGACAATAATTCGGCTATGCACATTAAGTATATGTTTACTATGTTATGTTTACTAATGTCAATTGCAGTATTTATACTGCCCCTAAAGAGGTCAAGATTTATAAATATCTTAACTGACCTAATTAAACTAGGAACTGAACACACAAATTAATTTCCTGACCTTCTCAACCTTTCGGAACGCTCTGAGGAAGTTCAGTCTTAGCACTCCTGCCAGCTCTTCCTCAGTCCAGTTCCTTGATATCAGCTCCTCAATTAGTGCTGGATATTTGGAGACGTCCTCCAGGCCTTTAGGGAATCTGTAATAATACAGGCACGCATAAACACATGCACACAGACATACAGATAAGGGCCAAAAGCATAATCTGCATGCTTTTCTTTGTGATTCTAGGGGATATGAATGTTTCGGAATGGATTTAAATATTGTAAAATGTGTTAACTGGTGCTGAGAGTACTACAATGATATTGGTAGCTAAAAATTATTATTTTTAGTTTATATTCTGCTGAAATCTACAATGTTTACTGCAGAATTACACAAGCATGGATTCCATGGAGGTACGTTAGCAAAGAAGTGAGCATAAACAAAATTCTGTAACGTCAATATAGATGAGATGTATTTGAGATCTTTACTTGCCCTTGTGCCCCATCATAGTCTGCTCCAATCCCAATGCTTTTAGCTCCAATCACCCGCTTTATATGATCAAAATGATCTATAAAAACACAAGTTTCAAATTAAAACCAAAAAAATAAAAAAATAAAAAAATAAAGAAATCTAGTCTTACCAGCCACAATAGACACATTTGCGTTATATGAACATGCTACAAAACTGCTGTAGAAGTTCACCATGATAAGCCCACCATTTTCTTTCTAGAAAGAAAGCAAAGTTTGTTCTTTTCAAAATATCATACATGTCATACTGGTAAAAGTGGACAAAAACACAAAGTGACAAGTGGCATTTCCATTACGGTCTTTTTTCAGTAAAATTTTGGAGTTTTTTTATTGAGAGGGAACTATGTCTAATGTAGCAAAACAAATGGAGGTCTCACCAGCAGCAGCAGCAGGTCGTCAGGTACGTTACGAACATTGTTGCAGATAGCATAGGCTGAGGAGTGGCTGAAAATAACTGGAGCAGCAGAATGTTTCAGCACAGCTCTGGCTGTCTCCCACGAGCTATGGGACAGATCAACCAACATTCCCAACCTGTTCATCTCATTCACCACTGCCTGGGGATTCAATTAATTAATTAACCATGTAAAGCAGTTAGTTCTGATCCATTCAGTTCAATTCTACAAATCAGGGATTTTGGATCCATTTGGACCCATTTGGATGTTTACTGTGAATTCTCTGAGGTAAATCACAAATATTCAGTGCCAAAGTGAATTCCACCACAAAACAGGTTCTGATAATAGTCAAGTTATACTTCAAAAACAAAGTAAATGCATCATAATCATGATTAGTTTTTTTCATTGAGCACTTTAAGATTTTTAATATTGTGCAGAAGTTTTTCTCATGTACTTGATTCATACAACAATGGGTTCACTGTGTGTAATATTGTAATAATATGTTATGATAGACGTCTTTTATATGTAATTTGTCAGCAATTTTAACATACACGCAGGGGGAAAAAAATGAATTCAATGGTAATGATGAACTACTGTGCAAACAGGATATACAAATCACCATCTTGAATATTTTAGTAACTCCAGGATCAAAGGCATTTTTTTAAGCAAAAAGAAAACCGTCTTTGAACTTTCAGTATTTTTTGTCTCTAGTTTTTGGGTTCAAAAGGGGGACACAAGACAGGGATTTCCAAATATAGAAGAGAACAAAAGAGGCCTTTAATACCAGGTCAAATTCCCAACTAAATACAACTGTAACTTTGGTTCAACTATCTTGCATTAAACTTTATCTTCTTATAAGATCTGTTTTACATTGTTTTATTGACTATTGATTCGTCAAGAAAAACGTACCTTTCCAAAATCTGTCAGGCTGTTATTCTTCCGCTGGTAATTTTGGTAAAAACTAGATGAGCTCTCAGCCCTACACATGACATTATTGGAGAAAGTTTAATAATGTAACTATATGAAATGGACAAATAAAAATTCAGGGACAGTATGTCCGTAAGTATGCAGTATAAGTTGTATTTGTGCTCCTCTCTCAATTCAGTATTAAAACTTGTTTGTACACATTATTATCATAAGCTTATGTTGTACATGTATGGTGAGTATTTTATTTACCATGGGGTGTTGCAGTTATGTGTGAGGGCCATGGATCTTACTCCAAGCTGGTAGAACATGCGTAGTGCTGGTAAACTACTGTCGATGGAGTGGCCTCCCTCAATACTGATTAGACATGCAATTTTTGCACTGTTCCTCATTCCTTAAACACACATACACACACAAATTCTTGTTTATCAATAGTTGAGAAAAAAAAAAGGATTACACATTGTTTCACATACACACACGTTTGTGTGTGTGTGTGTGTGTGTGTGTGAAACAATGAAAAATCCTTTTTTCTCTTTTCTCTCCACATCAGTAATAATCTGAGCACAATGGACATAAGTGTTTTTATTAGTGCTGCCAATCGATTAAAAAAATTAACAAATTAAATGCACATTTTTCTGAAATTAATCGCGATTAATCCCACCTAACATTAAAGTTTTTAAATATACTTTTATATTGCAATCATTTCACATTCAATCTTCAAATTAATGTACAAACAACATAAAGACAGTATATATTTTTATATTTGTTTAATGGCATCTTTTTTTATGACTGAAGGCCAGTATCAATGATACCAATACTGATTTCTCTATAAAATTGCCCCCCCCCCTCCTAATATTTGACCATTGACTATAGCCATTCAGCATTACAGTATAATTGAGAGCTATCAATTTTAACATTTACCTAATATTTGACCATTGACTATAGCCATTCAGGATTACAGTATAATTGAGAGCTATCAATTTTAACATTTATTACACTTTAAAAAATAACTTCTAATTTAAGTGAACTTAAAACAATCGTCACATAAACCCATTATAATAAATGTCATATTTACCTGTGGCCTTCAGCAGAAATATACAGAAATTGAAGTTATCAAACACTAAATTCTACATTAAATATAGATGAATCCTTAAAGCTATAAAAGTTATTTTTTCCTCTTTTTTTCTTTGTCCTTTGATTAATAGACATCAGCTGGTTATTAGGTTGTTTCGGCTGTTATTTCTTTAAGAGCTGCCGCTGCTGAACGTGACGCAGATCTGACATGCATCATATTTTCGCTCAACTCTTTTTACCTTTTCTTACCCACTTCAGGTTTTAAAGTCTCTATTAATGAGCTGACGAGTTAAATCAGGTGTGTTAGATGAGTGAGACAGTGCTGGGCTGCTCAAGGACAGTTTTGAAAACCATTTCAGAGACGTGACATTTTACGTAAATCGTAAAAAAAGATGTATTTAACGGCGTTTTAATGTTTGTAAAATGCGCCGCTTCTAATGCCGCTCGGCTTGCCACAGGACGCCGTAAAAAAACGCCGTTCTGATTGCACAAAAGCGTGCGTTATTTACAACGTTTTCCTTGTAGTATAATGAGCCACGCCCGCTGATTTCCACAGCCAGTAATATTGAACTGTTCTCACTCAATCAATGATGAACAGAACCAGACCAAACTAATTTACCACAGATTGTTTTAGCGGAAGAAGTGTCTGTGAACTGATAGGAAATATTTATGTACAAAGTAACTTTTTGTATATTTTCATCTCTAACATTGAACATCGTATTTAACGGCGTTTTAATGTTTGTAAAATGCGCCGCTTCTAATGCCGCTCGGCTTGCCACAGGACGCCGTAAAAAAACGCCGTTCTGATTGCACAAAAGCGTGCGTTATTTACAACGTTTTCCTTGTAGTATAATGAGCCATGCCCGCTGATTTCCACAGCCAGTAATATTGAACTGTTCTCACTCAATCAATGATGAACAGAACCAGACCAAACTAATTTACCACAGATTGTTTTAGCGGAAGAAGTGTCTGTGAACTGATAGGAAATATTTATGTACAAAGTAACTTTTTGTATATTTTCATCTCTAACATTGAACATAGGCCGATTCCATATCTTTATCATACTTTAATATAATTGTTAATTACATGGACAGCATTTTAGCATACTAACCCCATTGTGTATATATCATTTATTACACAAATACCTTTTATGTATATAAATAAGTGCTGGTTTATAATATTCAATTAGCTTTGAGTAATTTAATTTCCAACACAAGAAATCGTTCATGTAAACGCGATTTCTCTATAGAGTAAATGTAGCGTACATCTTGGCTTGCCATAGTACCGTTTCCACACTCGTTGGACTCGCGCCTGGCACTGAAGTGAAGTGGAGCGCGCGTCTGAAATGTCTCATGTTCTCAGTCGTTCTACGACTGAATAAATGCACTTCTTGTCAAGAAATAAAGAAAAAAGTGACAGAAGCAGCACTTGTGAGTGAGGTGGCCAACCCTAGCCCTGCGTTAACTGTGTTAAAAAAAATTAACGCATTAAACTGAAAAAATTAATTGCCTGCGTTAACGCGCTAATTTTGACACTAGTTTTTATATCTCCCTGTAAAATGAGGTGAACAGAAAATGTGCTGTGATCATGGCCGAGTACAGCTGTTTCTAAGCCAGGCACTTGTCTTTTGACATTGTTCAATCTCTAAAAAACCATGTCTAATATCATGCTGTCATAGTCTTAGTTCTTAAAATTAAAAAGTGACAGAAGCAGCACTTGTGAGTGAGGTGGCCAACCCTAGCCCTGCGTTAACTGTGTTAAAAAAAATTAACGCATTAAACTGAAAAAATTAATTGCCTGCGTTAACGCGCTAATTTTGACACTAGTTTTTATATCTCCCTGTAAAATGAGGTGAACATAAAATGTGCTGTGATCATGGCCGAGTACAGCTGTTTCTAAGCCAGGCACTTGTCTTTTGACATTGTTCAATCTCTAAAAAACCATGTCTAATATCATGCTGTCATAGTCTTAGTTCTTTCTACATTATATTACACAACATCTTCTCCAAGTACTACACTTATTTCACCAAAAACACTTCTATAAACCTCTGTTCAAAAGGTTGGGATCAGTAAGATGTTTTTTTTTTGAAGAAATGTATACATTCATCATGCATTAAATTGATCAAAAGTAATAGTTTCTAATAAACATCTATCAATTTAAAACAATTTCTGATAAACACTGTTCTTTTAAACTTTATATTCATCAAAGAATCCTGAAAACAATTTATCAAGGTTTCCACAACTGTTTTCAACATTGATAAGAAATGCAAAATTTTGTTACATTTTATGTAACATGACAAATGTTCCATTTTAAAATATATTAAAATAGAAAAAAGTTGTTTATAATAATATTTAACAATATTACTGCTTTACCTAATTTGATCAAATGAATGCAGCCTTGTTGAGCATAAAGAGACTTAACATTCAAATATCAACCCTAAACTTTTTTTTTGATACGTGAAATGCAATCTAGATGTTTTACAGTGTTACATACGGACAGCACTGGTCCAATCATGTTGAGAGAGAATATCCTCAGGCAGATAGCTGTGAGATTGCATAATGGTCTCTTCTCTTTTCACTTACACAAGTGTAGGCAAGAATCTTGTTAATTTGGAATTTACTGGAGATAATTTATAACAGCCTCTCCAGATATGGACTTCCGAAAGAACTGTCATTTCATTAAGATTTCTATTATCAAACTTTCCCTGGAGAGGCTAAAAGTTCTATCATCAATTACTCACCCTCATGAGATTGCATGACATTCTTTCTTTGGTGGAACATAAAAATAGATATTCTGAAGAATGTTGGCAACCAAACAGTGTTGGTGACCATTGACTTGCATTGTATGGAGAAAAAAAAACATTTCTCCAAATACCTTTTATATTCCACATAAGGAATAAAGTCATGATAAATGATGACAGAATTTCTTTCCCTCTAAGCAACAAACTGCTTGAAGATGTATGAAAGATGACAGGGTTTTCATTTTTTCATTGATTATGCTCTAAAAGATGGAGAAATAAAATGAAGACACGTCAGGACTAAAAGTAATCAGTCATTGGAAGACAAAACTGTAATAAATATAATAGTTTTCTACCTGCTGCAGAACTCGCTCAACTCAAACGCAGTTTGTTTTGAGAAAGATTTTGAGATGACACAACCTATAAACGTCAATGTTACAGCAAAAGTTTCTCTATAATAGGCTATTCTTTTAATTCTCTAAACTTCAGCATAAAGTTGAAATCTTCAAAATGTTCAATCACAGCAAAGTGAAATTTCTTTAGGTCAGGTGGAGGTTGAGGTGCAATAGTACCTTCAGCTGTGGTGACCAGTTCCATCTCTGGGTTTTCAGTACACATACGACGAATTACATCAATCTGTTCCAAGGTCAGTCTGACAGCATCTTTGTCCTGAGCCGTGCACAACACGTACGCTGCAAAAACCTGACAAATATCAAGGACTTATTTATCTCTAATCATGCATAAAATAACCAAAACAGCAAACTGGCAACTCACTTGTGGGTCCAAAATGTCTAAGAATGACAATTTTTGAGAGAAATTAACAGTTTCAGTGAAATTCAGTGACTTCGGGGACTGATTTCTCAGTGAGAAATTATAAGAGGAGAGTGGAGTTAAGATAATGGTTAAAGATCATATATTGCTTATTGAACTGCAAAATATTAGAAGCTGTGAGTGAATTTGGGGCAGAACAACCTTGTTCGTCAGGCCCAGCACTTGATCTACACAATATAGCCTACAGTATACACAAATATAGGTTTGTGACTTTAAATTTACAAATGATACTTAATAGCAAAAGGCGGTACAGGATAGTTAAAGATACAGATTATAATTAAGATCAGCCAATAGAAATTACCTGTCCTCCAACATGACCAGCAGCGAGGCGTCTAATATCTGTAGCCACTTTAGAATTGTTGTGTATACTGAAATTGCTCAATTTGTTTTTAAAGTGCATCCTCAGACGTAGTGCCAGGTCATTGTGTCTGAGTAAAGAGAAAGAGAAGTAGTCTGAAATCAAAAGACATCACAACACCATTTTTTTGCAAGTGGTGCAACTACAACCTTCTCTGAAGCCATTTGCTGTCCAGTATTCTCAGCTATACACAGGGACGGACTAAACCAATAATCGAAGTAAGCAACCGCCTAGGGCCCCGGAGAATCATCTGATACTGTTGCAACTTTTGCCAAGTGCTTCAGTCCGTATTTATGTACATAGGTTTCTATTTACAACGTTTTTACAATGTTTTTTGCAGCGTTTAGCAATACAGCCAATCACAGACATATCCGATTTCTTAATTGAACACAATGGCCAGTCAAAGGTGTTACAATCAATCCACTCATCGCTTAAAACGCCAGAGTTTTTGTTCAGTGTCGAGTTCTGTGCGCTCGCGCGAATCCTCTCATTGTATCAAAGTGTAGACAGCCTACGCTGTAAATTGTGCATTGTAGAGCTTTATTGATTATAACAGAACCTCGTTCTATGTGCATGAAGGCTAGAGCACTAGGGATGTAACGATTCACTCAACTCACGATTCGATTCGATTCACGATTTTGATTTCACGATTCGATTCACGATTGTTTTTTTTTTTTACAAAATGAGATTTAAGACAAATTATAAATTAAATGTGTCCTTTTATTTTTGCTTGGACAAAATGCTGCACGTTTCTTTGTGAAATTGAAATATAACACTATAATAATATACTAATATAGCACTTGCATTTCTCTTTTGTTGGTTTTGATTGCTTTTATTGTCCTCATTTGAAAGTCGCTTTGGATAAAAGCGTCTGCTAAATAAC